AAAGTTCCGGAATCATTTTCGTCATTCTTCGCTGCCGACTCCAGTGAATTGATATCCATTCTATAATAAGGGCACCAGAACCTGAACAGCATAATCGAGGTGCGGCCTGTCTAGCAAGATATAGTTGCAACAAGACCTCTGCACTCTTATTACTTACACTTCTAGATATAAAACCTAATACTCTGTGTGCCTTATTTCGAACATTAACACACTGTTTTTAGGCCGTAGGTCCGGGCTTACAAGAATCCCGGGATTTGACTTTGCCTCCTTTGCTACCTTCAGTTCATTATTCCTTTTTGCTTTTCTTATGTCGGTCTTAACGCTACTTATAATAATTTTGGAGGGTAACTTCACACGATTTATTCTCCTATCTATTGCCTACCTTTGTCCAATAATATTCTTTAATAATTATTTATCCATTTAGGGACATTGTTGTTTGATCTGAGTTTTTTGTATGGTATGTTCTGCCTTTGTGCATTAAGTAACTCATTATTTAATTTGTTGTGGCACTCGTCAACCTCAGATCTCGTGAACAGGTCATCCTCAACTGTCAGGTCTCCAGGTAAGGCGAGGTCGCCCTCTGTGGGTACATTATGTGAGGTCATGTAATTCACCCCCAAACGTGATACCCCTTCTCTCAGCTGACTTTAATGGAATTTTCCTTGTGACTGCCATTAAATTCTGATGTAAATCTTACACTTTTGTGATCGCTGTTGGCAAGTTCGTTCCCCTACCTCGACATTACTAATGAAGTTTTCTCTGTTTGACAGAACTAAATCGAGTATATTATTACCCCCGGGCGGGTTCGGTTTATATGACTTAGAAACAGTCCTGAACTGTTCAAGAAAATCCTCTGATTCTGAGTTACCTGTAAGGTCGGTCCAGTCTATTTGGCTAAAGTTAAAGTCGCCTACTATACAGACTTTGCTGTGCTTGGAAGCCCTGCGCATTTCATCCCAAATAAGTCGCTCATTAACTCTATCAAGATTAGGAGGTCTATATATTACCGTGATTAATTATTCCTACCATCAGTTAATTCCTTCAAATTGTTTTTGTATTCAGTTCAATTTTTATTTCTTATTTATTTCACACTTCAGATTATCCGACATAGATTGCTACTCCGCCTCTTTTCTAATCTGCCTATCGGTATGGAATAATTTGTAACCTGCAATTTGGTATTCGACAGGTAACTCAATTGAGTCTAAGTTTATCCATGTTTCGGTGAATGCTATTATATCGATTTTTTCGGTACATAACGCCCAGATTTCATCCATTTTGTTTCTCATACTTCTACTGTTTGCATTGTAGACATTTAAGTTAGTCTTGTTCTGAGTCCTCTCTTTGTCACGTTTAGGTTTTAACTCCCCTGCCTAATTTAGTTTTGATATCAATCCTCACACTATTATTTATCTGTAATTTTTCACTTTGTTTACCAGCTCCCTGCAGTCCACTTGATCCCCGTGCTCATATGTTCCCTCGCAGTTTAAAGACTTCGACATCTTTTGAACAACCCCCTTGAGAGAAGAGCCAGGGTTGCCATCCCATCCAGAAACAGGTGTATCCCATCCCTAGCATAAGGTCCTTCTGCTAAAAGTTGTCCCAGTTGTCAATGAATGGGACTGAACTTAACTTGCAATATCTGTCAAGACGGCCGTTGACACCAACTGTTCTTGACAACCATTCATTGCCAACTCTCTCTTAGGTAGGACACCACATATGATAGAGATTCCTTCCTTCAACCTAATACGTTCAATAGCTGTCTTGAACTTATCAAAGAAGCTCCTCACTCCACCGGCCAATACCACACTCCTGCACTGAGGCAGATAATGGGTTTGTTCCCATTACCAGTCTGTCCATCCTGTCAACTATATCCCCCACCCCAGCTCTGGCAAACACACCCCTCAACCTATTTTTTAATTTTACCAAAAGCTCTATCCAGGTACTGTACCTGGGAATCGCAACAATTAAGGTTTTCGTACCTTCCTTGTTAGCCCTGTCCTGACTATGCTAACGTCCAATTCGTCTATCAAGACTAACAAAGTTTTTACACTTAGCTGTTGTCGTTTCCTTGGTGTCTTTTCTCAAAAGTTTGGTCGTTCCTCTCCTCACAACCCTCCATTCGCCTGGGTCTTCATCAGATACGGGCTTTCCTTGTCTCGTGTCTTCTTCTTCATCCTCGCAATCATTTCCTTTAATTTCAAATTTTCGTCCTTGACCTTCACTAACTCGGCCGCTAGCTCGGCCCTCTGAAGGCAACAGCCCTGTTCAAAGTAGCACTAGCCATTACTGACAATTAATCCCGAGCTGATGTCTGCCGTGACCTTTCCTCTAGCGAGGTCAGAACACACACACACACACACACACTTCATCGACCACCAAAGGGTCAAGAAGGTATTTGGCTGCTCTGGCGGTCGCCAGGTCAGCTGTTATGTTGGCATACCCCAACTCCTTTCCCTGAACCCATCCTTCCCACCGGAATATCAGCAAGTTCTCGCCAGAAATTACAATTTCATTTCGGAAGGAGTGGAACCGGTGTTGGATGGTGATGAACAGTGCTTAAGTCAGCGAAACCAACGCAACAGTAACAGCTGAGAGTTGTACTCAGATAACCTTCACACAGTGAGGTCCCAGGTACCCAGTGATAACTGCCGAGAGACACATACTATATTGTTAGTATGTTCAAGATTGGAGGCCTGGGACCGCACCTGCCTATATACCCCTTGAGTGGTGAGGTCCTGTGACTCCAGACCTGGTGGTGTCTTTAAGACGCTACAACACTACGTAGTGAATGAGTTGCTACAGCATCATGTTGAGGTCCCTTATACCACCATCTGTGAGGGAATTACTACACCACGTCAGGTTATACCACCATCTGTGGGGAATTACTACACCACGTCAGGTCCTTATAACACCATCTGCGAGGAATTACTACACCACGTCAGGTCCTATAACCACCATCTGTGGGGAACTACTACACCACGTCGGTCCCTCATAACAACATCTGTGAGAACTACTACACCCGTCAGGTCCCTCATAACAACATCTGTGAGACTACTACACCCCGTCAGGTCCTCATAACACCATTGTGAGGGAACTGCTACGTCAGGTCCCTCATAACACCATCTGTGAGGGAATTACTACACCCGTCAGGTCACATAACACCATTTGTGAGGAACTACTACACCACGTCAGGTCCCTCATAACACCATCTGTGAGGAATTACTAAACAACGTCAGGTCCTCATAACAACATATTTTGAGGGAATTACTACACCACGTCAGGTCCCTCATAACACAATCTGTGGGGGAATTACTACCACGTCAGGTCCCTCATAACACCATCTGTGAGGAAATTACTACGTTACGTGTTTGCTCTTCAGAGCACGTGACCTCCACTGTAAACATTAATCTGTATGTTCACTGTATGTTCCTCTTCCTTTCTAATGAAACCTTGTGTTGACCTCCCCCCTTCCATGTCAATGTAATAACTCTTTTATGTCCAATGTATATTTTCAGCCTTTGGGCTGCTAACCTTTTCAATAAACTGTTAATTATTATAATTTTACACACACACACACACACACACACACACACACACACACACACACACACACACACACACACACACACACACACACACACACAGCTGAGATTCAACAATTCTTATGCAAGTATACATCTGAATTCTACTGTACAGCTATTTGTTGAAGTCATCATACACGTGTTAATTTTTATATTAAAATTATCCTATACGTGTATGTTTGGTGTGTGTACTTATGTATGTTGAAAATCCTCCCATGTACGGTATGTACAATATATTCAAGCTGTAAACATTACATATTAAACCTCAACACAGACGTGTATATTTGTGTACGTATAGTAGTGGTGGTAGTAGCAGGAAGTGGTGGTAGTAGTGGTGTTAGTAGCAGGAAGTGGTGGGAGTAGTGGTGGTGTTAGTAGCAGGAAGTAGTGGTGTGGTAGTAGCAGGAGTGGTGGTGGTAGTGGTGTTAAAGTGCAGGAAGTGGTGGTAGTAGTGGTGTTAGGTAGCAGGAAGTGGTGGTGGTAGTGGTGTTAGTAGCAGGAAGTGTTGGGAGTGGTGGTGGTAGTAGCAGGAAGTGGTGGTAGTAGTGTGTTAGTGGCAGGTGTGGTAGTAGCAGGAAGTGGTGGTTAGTAGTGGTGAGTAGCAGGAAGTGGTGGTGAGCCGAGGTGAGGTGTTAGTGGCAAGAGTGAGGTGGCAGTGGTGGTGTTGGTAGCAAGTGGTGGTAGTAGTGGTGTTAGTGGCAGAAGTGGTGGTAGAAGTAGTGGTGTTAGTAGCAGGAGTGGTGGTAGTAGTGGTGTTAGTAGCAGGAGTGGTGGTAGTAGTGGTGTTAGTAGCAGGAAATGGTGGTAGTAGTGGTGGTAGTAGCAGGAGTGTGGTAGTAGTGGTGGTAGTAGCAGGAGTGGTGGTGGTAGTGGTGGTAGTAGCAGGAGTGGTGAGTAGTAGTGGTGTTAGTAGCAGGAGTGAGGTGGTGGTGGTGGTAGTGTAAGAATGGTGGTAGTAATTGGTGTTGAAGTAGCAGGAAGTGGTGGTAGCAGTGGTGTTGTTTGAAATGGAGGTAGTAGTGGTGTTAGTAGCAGGAAGTGGTGGTAGTAGTGGTGTTGAGTAGCAGGAGGTGGTGGTGGCAGTGGTGTTAGTAGCCGGAAATGGTGTTAAGTAGTGGTGTTAGTAGCAGGGAAGTGGTAGTAGTAGTGGTGGTAGTAGCAGGGAATTGGTGGTAGTAGTGGTGTTGTGCAGTGGATTGTTAGTAATGAGTAAGTGTTAGAGTAGTGGTGGTAGTAGCCGAGTGGTGTTAGTAGTGGTGTTAGTAGCGGGAAGGTGTGGTAGTAGTAGTGTTAATGCAGGAAGTAATGGTGGTAGTGGTGTTAATGTAGGAAGTGGTGGTGGTAGTGGTGTTAGTAGCAGGAGATGATCCGTTAGTCCTGGATGACGTTCACAACTTTTAGATGTACTCTACCTTACAAGCTTTGGGTGATAACTCATAAGTGTTTGGGTAACTCACTTTCGTTAACGAGACCGAAGCCAGAGCCGGTGACGGTGGTGTTTGTGGGGGGTCGTTGAACTGACACACAGTAAGGGTAGACAAGGTCGTTGAAGGCTATCGGTTCCTTCGTCTCAAGGAGCGCCACGTCGTTGTATCGAACGAAGGAGTCTGAGCTGAAGTTATGAGGGAGATAAAACAATGCTCTTATTATGGCATTACTGTACTTCAACAAATAAGGTCTGTAAGTACATAACAAGGTCAGTAATTACGCTAGTCCTTCAACAACGAAAAATTAATGAGATACAACTCTGTAAAATTAGGACATGGAGAAGTTAGGACATGTGGGAGAAAAAACCTGGGACCTAGGATACGCTGATAACACAGGGGAGTTATGATATACTGGTCACGAGGTAGAATGGACATGCTAAGAAAACTGGGGGTGTATATGATGCTAAAGACATAGGGTAGCTACAACAAACTGAAGACATTTATTAAAGTCAAGAATAAAGGATTACATCTGCATACACTACATACATGCAAGAACACACCGAATAGTCTGGGAGCCCAGTGGGATTTAATCATAATTTCGAGCACAAACACCGGTCTAGTGCAGAGTGATAGAGAATCATGTCCTGATCACGAATCAACAGCTGAAGATGACAGTTTCCTGGGCTAAAGGCACTTAAGAACGCCCTTAATGAGTAAAGCCTATTCTGCACTAAGTGAACCTAAGAATCCTAAATAATACTGGGTCATCAGTTACATAGTTACATGTAAGTGGAGAGTGTAAAGTTAGCTGCCACAGTCACGAGGAAATTTTATCTTTTTATTGGTGCTTTGCTCTCAGGTGAATGTGCATAATTATGGATGGGGGAAACTAATTTGACCATAGCTCCTTTTCGCTTTATCCCAAACATATCAAACACCACTCGAAAACTGGCTGATAATGTCAGCTTTCCTTTAATACAAATATACAGCATAAATAGTCTACTGGAGATCGAAAAGTCACAATCATGACTTCATGCTTAAAATGGGATTACACTAATATTTTACAGTAAATAATGTATATTATGCATAATGGTTGTCAAAGTTCCAGCTAGATCTGCTAAGAATGGTCATTCTGAGGTTTGGGAAGTACAGTCACCCCTAAAAAAACGCCTCCACCCCTTCCTAGAGAGGTTTTGGAACTCGTGGCCTATCTGTTCCGGTAACAGTGTACCTGGCGTAGAGGGGGGGGGGGGTGGCAGAGCCGGATTCAGGCTTGTGGAGGCCCATGGGCAGCCTCTTTGTGGAGGCCCCCCTCATTATAACTACCCAAGAGGGTAGGGTGGCGAGTGAAGTGAGCCTAAACATCTGGGAGTTCCGGAGGGCGCTGTAAGCCCCCCGGGAAAATTTTGAAATTTGAACACTTCTTTGGAGAATTTTGAAGCCATATGCAGTTATATCGAGGAAATTAGAACACACCGCCCTGATGGCATTCGTAATGGAAGTGATAATGAAAAAAATATTTTATTTGTTTTTTTTTAATCTCAATTTCGTTATTGCATGTTGCTCATTTTTAATCAATATATGTTTGTGGAATTCTAAATATATTATTAGCAACACAAACAATAGCATTCATTAAAAATATACGGTTCATAGGAAAACCAGGTATTCATGAATTTCAAGGAGTAGCTAGCCTAATTTCTATCACGCTTCTTGCTGAAATTCTTGCCAAATCAAGGACACAAGGCTCAAGAAATGTTTGAAGGTTTGATGAAGTTTCTTGCAGACAATGACATTGACATTCAAAATTGTCGTGGGCAATCTTATAATAATGCAACATCTATGAATGTTGTCAAGAAGCTATCGCATATTTTTATTTTCTTGAGGCAATTTATGTGTTCTTCACAGCTTCTACACATCGTTATGCAATTCTTAGTGATTTATTGAAAACTGTAGCGTCTGGCCCGGTATCTGTGCCAAAGAGGATTTTCACAACAAGATGGTCCTGTCGAGCAGTTGCAGTGAAAGCAGTTGTCCAAGGTTATCTCCCAATCCGTGAAGCACTTGCTAAAATAGCTAGAGATGAAAATGAGACGAGCAAAACATGTTATGAAGCCAATGGTCTCCATGATAAGATGTGCAAGTTAGAGACTGCTATTTATGCTGTGTTTTGGCATGACATTCTTGGCAGAGTTGATGTAACAAGCCATGCATTGCAAGATCCTAAACTCGATTTGAACACAGCAGTAGCAATGCTGAAATCCTTGGAATGTTTTGTACGAGAAAAAAGAGATTGCTTCCATGTTTATGAGAAGAAGGGAAGGGAAATATCAGAAACTGTTGTATGTGATATTAAAAGGAATGTGATAACTGCCAATGAGAACAACTTTCGTATCGAATTTGTGTGGATTCCGTCCCATGTTGGAATCAGGTATCATGACCGTGCTGATAGACTGGCCAATGAGGCATGTAAGAAAGAAAATGTTGACCGTGACCTTGGCCTGTCCAATGCTGTAATTAAAAACATTCAAGTCAGAATCATGAACTCTGATCTAGAAGAAGTGAGAAATGCAGAGAGACCTGACAGTTGTAGCATTAGTAAATATGACAAATTTTGTAACAAGAGGTACCGGTATGGCCAGCATAAGGACAGAACCAGACAATGTGATGTAGTCGTGGCCAGAATTAGGCTAGGATACAGACACATCTGGCAAGTTAGTAACGCTGTACCCATACCGGAACACTCAGCATGTAAACTTTGTGATAAACCTTTAAAGCATACACTTGAACACGATATTATTGAATGTGACACTGTCAAAGACTTCAGGCCACCTGACTTATTGTATCTTGAACTATGTAATTACTTCATTGAATCAGGTGTGCTTGAGGACATTCTTGCTGTTTATCCCAAATTTGCTGGCCCACAATGATTAGTCTTTAATTAGAATATGACTCCAATGTATGTGATCCACTGACCTATATATACTGCTTATGAATATGATGTATTTCCTTCTTTGTGTACGAACCTCTGTCCTGCATGGCAGTGAACAGTGGCATTACCCACATGAATCTGACCTATATATAGTGTCAATGAATATGATGCATTCTTTGTGTACGAACCTCTGTCCTGCATGGCAGTGAAGAGTAACATTACCCACATGAATCTGACCGACGTATATGTATGTATGTGTGTATATGTGTATGTATGTGTGCATATGTGTATATATATGTACATGTATATGTGTATATATATGTACATGTATATGTACATGTATATGTGTATATGTATGTATGTGTATGTGTGTGTGTGTACATATATGTATATGTACTGTCAATGAATATGATGCATCTCTTTGTGTATGAACCTCTGTCCTGCATGGCAATGAACAGTGACATTGCCCATATGAATCTGACCTCTATACATTTATAGCTGTTAATGAATATGATGTATTTCTTTGTGTATGAACCTCTGTCCTGCGTGGCAGTGAGAAGTGATACCACCCTCAGTGTCAAGACCTGACTGAATTACTCAGAATAGGCAAACTGTACTACAAGCTCTGCCAATAAATTTGTGAAACTAAAACTAACTATTCACAGACGCGCAAGCGTCAACGTAATGTACGACTCAATCCATTGGATTATGGACGATCAGAAGAAGCAGCCCTCTCACAGTCAGAAAAATTTCAGGTTCAGAATTTCCTTCCAGCAATTGATCAGTTCCTGAGTTCACTGGATCAACGGTTAAAGGCCTATGAGGAAACCTGTTCACTTTTCGGGTTCTTGTCTAAACTGGAGTCAATGAATTGTGATGAAATTGAAGCAGCTGCAACAAAATTGGTTGCTGAGTACAAAAATGATTTGGATCAAACACTTGGAGTTGAACTTGTGCAGTTTACAGCATTCTTCACTCAATTTCTTGAAGACGAAGATGATGAGAAAGGGAGGGCACATTACCTTTACAAGCTGTTGATAGACAAGAAAGTTGTAGATACATTTCCAAATGTTGAAATAATGCTACGGATGTACTTGGTGCTCATGGTCACAAATTGTTCTGGAGAACGTTCTTTCAATAAAATGAAGTTTATTAAAAACAGACTTCGTACTACAATGCGTCATGATAGGCTCAGCCACCTGGCTTTGATGAGTATCGAATATAACATCCTCAGAGATTGACTTCGAAAAGTTGATCAAAAACTTTGCAGCGGCCAGGTCACGTAAAGTGCCTGGTCTGTAAATAAAGGTAATGTTTATTTTATATTTTGCAATTGATCAATGTTTGTGTTCAATATATCCATTATCCATGGCAGTTATTTTTCTTAAAATTCTTGTTTTTTTTTCAACATGTTCATACTCTTGTTATAATTTTATCAAATTCATTAAATTCCTTATTTGTTTTACTATTGGATGCAAAACTTCAATTTTTGTCTCAGATCTTGTTGATACGACGGGCTGACCAGTCAACACGGATTTAAGACATAGTACACAGATTAAGTAATTATGTCTCGTGCCTTACGCAGTCGTGGAGCCAACGCCTGGATGAATCAGTCGGATGACAGCTCCAGAGATGGATGACCAGGCTGAACAGAATGCTCCAGCTCCCACCACATTGCGCAGCCCTTCACCTCGATCTTCAGCATTGTCTTCAGAGATAATTGCTTTAATGAAGTTTATGAGGGATGAAAGGCGCGAGGACGAAGCTAAAAGACGGGGGAGGATGAAAAATGGAGGCAAGCTGAGGCAGAGAGAGACCACCAACGGAGATTGGAAGACAGTGCACGGTTTGAAGCTTTAATATCTCGCCTCACTGTTAACCAAGCCCCTGGCTCTAACACTGCCTCGGTATCGACTGGTTCAGATACCTCATCAATGCTTTCTTCACGCCCCTCAGCCCCACCTAAAGCGGCTGCTCAAACACCACCCACCTTGAAGCCTGATGTGAATTTCCAGACTTTTCGTGAATGGCGGCGACGGTGGACTAATTATGCTACAATGGTGGATCTCCAGAGCTTGTCACAGCCTAAACAACTTATTCAGCTGCGTATGTGCCTGTCCTTGGAAACTCAGCGTGTCTTGGAACATACGTTGCAGGTACCTCCGATCTCTTCGTTGTCTGTAGAGGAGGTACTGGATATTCTACAACGGCACATCAAAGGGCAGCGGAATGAAGCTCTACGTAGGAGGGAATTGT